TATCCGTCACGTGCAGCTGCTGTAGATAAAATCAAGCGACAAGCTTAACACCATTAAGATGGCGGGGCCCTCGTGTAGGTGGAGCCCACTACGTGAGGTTACCTGCAGGTTATGGTCCAGGTAATATGGCAACACTATAAAATTCGTTATATATCAACGATTTTAAATCTGAATTTACAGAATTCTTGTATTCAAAGTTTACTTTCTCAAGCTGGGTGGAGAGGTTTAAATCCCTCCATTGCTGGCCATAACAGGGATTTGCTCATCTGCTGAGAATATGGAAATGGATTCATTTTAATGTTTGTTTGAAAAAGACTGAAGACGTGTGGTATTTCAACGAAGGAATTCCAAGAGCTTGTTATTTTACAGTACGACATCATCAGCACTTTTCCAGTGATAATATTGCATTTTTGAACTGTAGAACTTGCCTTCTATTGCAATGGTAATATTTGACTGTTAATAAAATTTTTAAATTGGTATTTTTCACTGTTGGGGGAAAACAGCATAAGGGCTGCCAATTTAAGCATAGCAAATCCCCTCCAAAGCAAGCAAACAGCCTCAAAGAAACTTAGAAACAAAAAAAGCCAAACAAACAAAAAAAGAAAAAAAATCACAAAACTAGGAAAAGCCACACAAAGGAAATTACCAACACATTAAGCAAGCAAAACATCCACATTAATAAAACACACCCACCAGCCTAAAAAAACTGGCTCACCGAACTCTAAAAACTCAAGCTGGTGATACACTCAACAGACCCTTAACCAGTATCTTACCATAACTCTCATATCGAATCTCTGTAGGAACCTCCACTTGGATGATCTGAATAGTCACTGATCACGACCATAACAACACACACAATCGCTAAATAATGAGAAACTTTAAATCCCAGAGCATAACAAACTTATTTAATAGCAACTTTTACACATTACTGCAAGCCACAGAAGCAGATCACTTACCTATAGCCTCTTGATGGATAGTCCATCACTGAACTGGAAATGACCCATAATCACGAGTAAGTATACTCGCGAGTGGTGGTGCATAATCTCTAGTATCACGAGAACCTTGAGGTAATTCTGCTTGAATAGCTAAAACACAAAAAGTTTTGGTTCATGGCTTTTGATAAGCTTCCTTCAACTTCAATTATCTATTTAAAAGCTGCAATGATTTCTATTACCTGTTTTTAGAGAATACCATCATTCTCTTGGAGGACAAATAAACATCCTCTACGAGAGGGCAGTGGCTCCTTCGAGGTGGACTCCCATAAACTATCCTCATTCCACGTGATACAGGAGCTTAAGGAAATTAACATCAACTATTTTTTAAACACAGTCAGAGAAAGAAGTTAAATACGTGACTTACGATCAGCGCTATGAAAAACGAGACTGACTTCAAAGATGATCTTAGTCTGCCGTAATGTCACTTTGAATCAGTCCGTTTTCTAGCCTGAATGTAAGTTCACGTTTTAACCTTCTTTCTCTGACTGTGTCTTAAAAATAAGTGATGTAAGTTTTTCCTTAAGCTCCTGTATCACGTGGAAGAGATAGTTTATGGAGGTCCTCACCCTCCGAAGGGAGCCACTGCCCTCTCCGTAGAGAATGTTTATTTGCCCCATAGAGATGATGGTATCTCTTAAAAGAAAGGTAATAAGAAAATTGGCACAGCTTTTTATAATTATAATTTAAGGTTGACAGGAAAGCTTATCACAAAGCATAACCAAAAACTTTTGTCGTTTTTAGTATTCAAGCAGAGATTACCCAAGTTCTCGTGATACTAGAGATTATGCACCACCACCACGAGATTATACTTACCGTGATTATGGTCATTCCAGTTCACGTGATGACTATCCATCAAGAGGCTATAGGTAAGTGACTGCTTCTGTGGCTTGCATGTAAGAAAAGTTGCTATAAAAGTTGATGCTCTGGGACTTAAAGGTTTCTCTTTAATTTAGCGATAGAGATGGATATGGTCGTGATCGTGACTATTCAGATCATCCAAGTGGAGGTTCCTACAGAGATTCATATGAGAGTTATGGTAAGATACTGGTTAAGGGTCTTGAGTATCACCAGCTTGAGTTTTTAGGTTCGTGAGCCAGTTTTTTAGGCTGCGTGGTGCTTGCTTTTTAAAGGGATGTTTGCTTGCTTTTAAAGGGGTAACTTTATCAGCTGGGCTTTTCCTAGTTTTGTGAGGGGCTTTTTTTGTTTTTCTAAGTTTCTTTTGAGGCTGTTTGCTTGCTTTGGAGGGGATTTTGCTTGCTTAAATTGGCAGCCTTATGTGTTTTCCCCCAACAGTGAAAATACAATTTAAAAATTTTATTAACAAGGTCAAATATTTACCATTGCAATATGAAGGCAAGTTCTACAGTTCAAAATTGCAACTTATCACTGGAAAGTGGCTGAGTGTCTACTGTAAAATAACAAGCTCTCTGGAATATCCTCTTGAAATACACACCGTCTTCAGTCTTTTCAAACAAACATTAAAATGAATCCATTTCCATATCTCAGCAGATGAGCAAATCCCTGTTATGGCCAGCAATGGCAGAGTTTAAAACCTCCCACCCAGTTGAGAAAGTAAACTTTTAATACAAGAATTCTGTAAATTCAGATTTAAAATGTTGTATATATACAATTTATAGTGTTGCCATATTACCTGACCATTGACCCTGCAGGTAACTCACGTAGTGCTCCACCTACACGAGGGCCCCCGCCATCTTATGGTGGAAGCAGTCGCTATGATGATTACAGCAGCTCACGTGACGGATA